GGCTGGGGATCGAACTCGTGCTGCAGTGGCTGTGGATAGCTTCATAGTGCTGCATCTTAACCCCTTGCTCCACCAGGGAGGCCCCAACATGGCCATTTTAACAATGTTTATCCTTGCAATTCATAGACACTGAATATCTTTCCATTTCTTTGTGTCTTCTTTCATTACCTTTAACAGTGTCTTATAGTTTTCAGTATATAGGTCCTTCACTTCCTTTGCTATCTTTACTCCCACACATTTCATTCTTTCTGGTGTGATTGTAAGTCAGTGCTGTGGGTTTGTTTTTATTGTTTCTCTTTGTTTAGCTTGGGTGGCTGGTAAGGGAGTTAGGGAGAGTTGGAGCCCAGACTCAGTCACAGTCCTGTTGGGGAGTGAGGCAGAAAGATCAACTCTGTCTCCTCACCTTTCTTTTTAGAATAAGCCCTGTTCACTCTATCAGGGATCTCAGAATACAGGATCATCCTCTTGCTTCTCCTTTCTGAGGTGTGGGGCATGTGCCAACAGGTGCAGACTGCCAGGTCACTGGGTATTTGGATCCACTCAGGTGGTTCAGCACCTCTCCCAAGTGAGGTGGGTGGAGTCTCCTCCACCCTGCTGCCCTGGCCTGAGTCCCGCACTCTCTCTGCTCTTCTAGCTGGGAGGGGGCTGTTGAAGGCTAACACAGCGCAGAAGATGCTCTCTTTTCTCCTTTTTTTTTTTAATTTATTTATTCATACATACAAGAACCGGGGTACAGGCCAGAGGCGTGGGAGGGTGAGAGGATTCACCAGAGACAGAGTGGGGAATAGAACAGGCAGACTGACTAAAGTACACTGTCAAGGGGAGTAGCGGGTGAGTCAGGAGAGGTCTGCTGCACCATGTGGGTATCTCCCTGGCTGGCCAGAATCAAACCCGCGCTGTAGAGGCTGCGGACAGCTTCTCAGTGCTGTGCTCAACCACCTGCACCGCCAGGGAGGCTCTCTCCTCTCCTTTTTCTCCCCTGGCTGGGGGCTTTGATGCTCAGCAAGTCACTCAGTTGCAGGCTGGCTGTGGGGAAGATTTTTCTCCATTAGTCCAGCATGGAGAGTGGGAGGAGGGCCCACACTCTCACTACCAGGGGCAGGCACCTTGTGGCAGATCTCACAGCAGATCCCTTCTCCACTCAGCTGGCTTGATGATGGATGCCAGGCATTGGGTGCGTTGGAGCAGCGGAAAGGGGGAAGATCTCTCACTCCACCTGCCCTCTTTAGAGAGTGATAGGGCTCAATCTCCCTCACTGTTGCCGGCTGGTAGTGAGTGGTGAGTTACTCTCTTGGTGTTCCTGACTGGGAAGGGTGCAGGGCTCAGCACTCAACAGCAGCCAGCCAGGCTCACTGCAACCAAGCCAATGGCTCCCATGCAGATACCACCAGTGGAGCTACTCTCTGGATGAGAAAGCCTCACTAGAAAGATTCTTGGTCTATGCGCTGTCTGCCAGTGTTAGGCCCTCTGATGTTCCATTTACTGGATGGCTGCTGCCCTGGCCACGCTTCCCTTGCTTCACCTCACTTCGTCTCCACATCAAGTCACCAACCTCAGCATGGTATCTCTGTTAGAACATCTCCCATTTCTGATGATGAACTTTTGAGACCTTCCTATTTCACCAGGTTGCGGATGGAGTCAGACCACAAATTTAAAATAGTTGTGATTATTATGCTATGGGCACTGAAGAAAAAAGTGTCTATAGGAAAAAGGACAATATGAAAGAGCACATGTGTTTGTAAACAGACGGAAATTCTAGAAAATAATGAAGAGGAAATGTTAGAAATAAAAACATGTAACAGAAATTAAGAATATCTTTGATGGGCTCATTAACAGACTGGTCACAGTAAAATCCATGAACTTGAAGATATGTTAATAGAAACTTACGAAGCTGAAAGGTAAAGAGAAAAAAATGAAAAGACAGAACAGGATGCATGAGAACTTGGGGCAATTACAAAAGGTATAATATTCATATAAGGGGACTGCTTTATTCATATAAGGGGAAGAAAGGAACTGAAAAAATTGCAGAGAATTTTCCAAAATTAATGACAGACACAAAACAAAAATCCAGGAAGCTTAGACAACTCCAACCAAGATAAAACCCAAAAATGTACACATAATTATGTTTGAACTACAGAAAATCAAAGACAGAAAAATTCCTGAAAGAAATCAGAGGGGGGAAACACCTTACTCGTAGAGAAAAAGGGTAAGAATGATACTTGCTTCTCTGCAGAAAGCATGCAAGTAAGAAGAAAGTGGGGTGAAATATTTAAAGTGTTGAAAGAAAAACCTCCATTAACCTAGATTTCTAGGTTCAGTGAAATTATTCTTCAAAACTGAAGGAGAGGGCCTCCCCTGGTGGCACAGCAGTTGAGCGCTGGGCTATGAAGCTGCCTGCAGCCTCTGCAGCGCTGGTTCAATCCCCAGCCACCAGCGAGGGTCCCACATGGTGGGGCAGACCTCTCCTGCCACGCCCACTGCTCCCCCCAGCAGTGTATTTCATCAGTCTGCCTGTTCTGCTTCCCGCTCTGTCTCTGGTGAATCCTCTCACCCTTCTGCGCTTCTGACTGTACCCAGTGCTTGTATAAATTAAAAAACAACAACAACAACTGAAGGAGAAAGTCTTTGTCAGGCAAGTAATAGTTGAGATCATTAGTAGGTCTGTAAGAAGTTCAAGAGAAAAGGAAAATTATTAGAAACGCAGATATACATACATAAAGAAGACATTAGAGAGGAACAAGTAAAGGTAGAATAAAATATTTTATTTTTCTTAATCAGATAACAATTTATTCAAAATAACAATAATGTATTTAATGATTATGGCTTATGGAGAAATGAAGTGGATGGCATAAATGTTATAAGGGAGAAGCTGGGAATAAAACACAAGTCAAACAGTGTAATGTTATTTGAAAGTGGTCTTTTCTTTTATGTCTCTATTTTTTTTTTAGAGATTTATTTTTTATTTATACAATAGCTGGGGTATAGGCCAGAGGCATGGGAGGGTGAGAGGATTCACCAGAGACAGAGTGGGGAGCAGAACAGGCAGATCCACTGAAATATACTGCTAAGGGGAGCAGCAGGCAAGACAGGAGAGGTCTCCTACACCATGTGGGTTGCTCTCTGGCCAGCCTGGGATGGAACTAGTGCTGTAGTGACTGGCAGCAGCTTGATAGCTCTGTCTTTAACCCCTGCACCACCAGAGAGACCCCAAGAATCATTTTTAAAGTGGCCTTATATCCCACCCTTTTTCTGGCCAGGTAGGACCAGAAGCTAGAGGGCTGAAAGCTGATAGTACTGCCCCAGTGCACCCTAAGAAGAAAGTGCATCACACTGCTTCTTCCTCCACAGTTCCTGGATGTACTTGTAAGCAACCATTTTGGCTTACCTGGTGGCTGCTGCCAGATGGAAAGAGTCCTTTCTTCTTTGAGTATTTTGTGTTGCAGTAAAGACTAGCATACATGTCTGACCCACCCAGACATGTGTGATTCACTTCTCTTAAAAATGAAATGTCAGTCTAGGCCTGCTGTGTTTGTCTCCCTTTCCTTTACCCATCCGGCCCTGAGCATACGCCAATTAAGAAGCAAGACTAAGAGTACATTGAGAGTTCTTCCTTAGTAGTGAGTGGGCCTCTGAAGTACTCTAAAGCCCCCTTCCAGCATGTGGAATAACAAATTGTGCCCTCTGGGTACCCCTTTAAGTAACTGGCTGTAGCCTCCTTGATTGACCACACTGTGATTTGGGTAGCCCGGCTGCTGGCCTTCAGTTTGGGTTCCTGGTTTTCACTTCTAGCATTGCTTGGCCAGGAGCCAAGGCTGAACCTAGTCCAGATGGCTCAGATGCTGACTGGTTCTCCTAGTTTCTGCCAACTTTCATTGTTTCTGGTATTTATACCTTGATTCATTTACAGATTCCTGGGCCAAAACTATGGTTAACCGGATGCCAGGAATTCTTACATCCCAGAGTACCACTTTTTTTCTCTTGCCCTCAGATCAGACCCTTCACACCAATGTGTCTCAAGTTGCACTTGTATCCCTGCACTTCAGTCCACAGTAAGATCTTGAACCTTAGATGTTAGGATTTGCAGCCAGGGTGAGTAACCATGCTGTATGCCAGACATTTCAGCAAAATCTTTTCTCATAGTGAATGCCTACATACCCATCATTTCAGTTAGTATTCCTGCTTTGACAAATTAATCCTTATTGAGAATTAAGCCCAGGGTAGTAGTTACCCTGATCAGATCCACCACTCTCTGAAGGGTAAGATTGCTGGCAAAGCAAGTAAAAAAAAAATTCCAGAACTTCAGCATTTATCTTAGCGGGACTTTGTATGAAAACTTAACTATTTAATACTTTTGTTGCATAATAACAAACATTAGTCTAAGTTTTCATCTCAACAGATTATATTATCTTCCCACAATTATAATTTTTCAATATGTTCTAAGGTCAGAGTTTAAATAGTCAAAAGACTAGGCATCTTATTTCAGAACAAGAAAGGCTTAATTTATTATAGAAAACAAGTAGACTAACAAATACACAAGCCATAGTGAAATAGTTTTCTGGGATTATAAAATAGTGAACTACTTTTATGCCAGACACTCTGGAATCACTAGGGAGTGGGGAGTAGGAGGTGGGGGAACAGTTATCAAAAAACAAGATGTTCTGAGAATTAGCAGATAATGACTTACTGTAATAAAACAACAATCAAATGAAAATGTTATATTATAGTAGTCTAAAACACTAGTTGATCTTTCCAAGGATAGATACTTTGCTTCAGATATATCAGATATTTCCTAAACTAAAATTTTACTTTTATACTTGCTCAAAATCATAAACCTAATCTCTTTAATCAAATTGTACTTTGCTGGGGTCAATATTAAATTTCATTTTTATTCTGTAGCCCACATATACATTCTGGTCCTGTTTAATTCATAATAGATAATTCACAAAGCCAGAATCATTTACATGTGACCAAATTAGAGAATAATCTAAGTCACACAATTCACCAACAGCCAAAGGCAGGCCCATGCTTTACAACAATATCTTTCATAGGCCAATAAATGGTCACACCATTTTCCTTCAAAGCAGTGGAAATGAAAAGCACTAACTTTAGTCAAATGAAAAGCACTAACTAAACTAATCTGCTAGCAACTAATCCACTAGCAGATTCCAACCTAATGGCCAGAATTTAAGGAATAATACATGAAGCATGATAATTTAAGACCACCGAAGAAAAAACAAGAAAAGTGTTTCTCTTTGTAAGGAGAAACCATTCTGCCCTTTAAAGACTGTCCACCCATGCAAGGCAGATGGTGGATGGGACTGAAGCTTCAGGGCCCTTTATTCAACCTCCAGCTCGGCTCTTGAGAATTAAAAATCAAAACTCACATTAAAAACATCTTTGAAATTCTATAATTGAGCCCCGAGATTTGGATATAAATATATCTAGACAGCTTAGGAGGAAAAGGAGAGATGGGCGCTGTCCTTTAAGTGAAGATTTCACAAAACAGAAGAAAGGAACTCAGCAAGTCCTTTGATTTTGCTACACACACTTGCTGGAGAGGCTGGCTTTAATATAGGTTCGTCTTTTTCATGATCTGAAGAAACTCTTCCTCGTTCACTTCACCATCTCCATCCCTATCAGCTTCTTCGATCATTTCCTGCAGCTCCTCGTCAGTGAGGTGTTCCCCCAACTCACTGGCCACACGTTTTAGGTTCCTGAAGGAGATCTTCCCGGTTTCATCATCATCAAAGAGCCTGAAAGCCTTCAGGATTTCTTCTTTGGTGTCCTTCTCAGCCATTTTCTGAGTCATCAAGGCCAAGAAGTCATTAAAGCTGACTTTCCCTGTGCCTTCTTTGTCGATTTCGGAGACCATCTTCTTTACCTCTTCCTTCGTGGGTTCAAAGCCCAGCGCTCTCATGGCCACCCTCAACTCCTTCACGTCGATGGTCCCACTGCCGTCAGCATCGAAGAGGTCAAATGCTTCTCGGACTTCTTGTTTTTGATTTTCAGTGAGTTCAGCCTTCGGACTCATCCTTCTTTTCTGGCTAGTAGAGGATGGGTTTGACTTCCTAAAGCTGGAAGCCATTCCCCCCCGCCCCAACCCCACCACTGCCAACGTAACCTCAACTGTGCGGTGCCGCAGAGGTGCACGCGCTTGATGCGGGGGGGTCTCCCGCACTGAGGATTCCCTGCAGTCAACCTCTTTTCTACTGCTCTTGCTCGCTAAGTCAGCCACGTCTGTGAGAGTGTATTTACGTTATAATCCATAGTTTCCTTAGTTATTATCCAGTTTCCATGCCCTGGAAGGGACTTCTGTAGCCACCGTTGTCTTCTGCGATGCACTAGCACGTGCTGTACTTTTAAGATCTTTTGTTGGCATTCAAAGGATCCTTTTTCTAGGGTTATTTGGAGGTGGTTCTTCGTTCTTTCTACATACTAATTAAGAAAACTTCTTGGTCTGTTACCTAAGGGTAAATTTAGTATAATCAAGATTGAATTTGATTACTTGATATTAAATATAGAGAAGAAAAATATTAAGGCACACCATGTGTTCCACTTGACATAAATGGAAAACAGATAAAATGGAAAAGCTCATGTATAAGATTTGTACAAGTTTGTCTCCTGACATTATACTCAAGAATCATGAAACTTTACTAGCTTCTTTGGCATAAACTCAAATATGTAATGTAATATCCAAATGTATGATTTACTTTCAGTGTTTCAATTTTACATACTCAGTATAATTGCACCTGAACAACAGTCATAATTTCATTCATTAGGCTTTTGATTTGGAGAGAGGGGGTTTGAAATACAGCATTCTGGTATTTTTAAAAAACGCTAGCAGTGTATTACTGTTTATCATCCAATCAGAGCTGAGCAAAACCCACATTCTGATTGCCTTCCTTTGGCAGTGGACACAGTAGGAGATGATGTAGGGCAAACAGGAACTCAGATTGCCTCCTGGGACCAAAAGGGCAAGAGGAAAATGGAAACTTCTTAAGGTAAAAGAAAAGAAAAGAAGCCATCAAGTAAACCCATAAAAGAAGTGTCTTTAGAATAGCTTTGTATTTCTTTAAATGTTTTCTTTTAAAGGCTGGCTTACTTTTTAAAATTTTTTCCCCAGAAAATCTCATTTTGTCACTACTTGATGGGTTATAAGAGAAGGCACTTTAAGCGCTTTTATCGAAGAGTTGGTTTTTTTTTTATCCCAGCATTTAGAGTAGTGCCTGACACATACTTGGTAGATTAATAAATATTTGTTGAATGGATGAATGACAATCTTGTCCCAAAATACCTTCTGAATCAAAAGAAAACAAAGACACAAAAATGCTGGAGGATTAAATTATGCTGAGTGTTTTACAAATTCTGTTTTTTATAATTAGTGATCAAACATTGTTTATATGACATGCTTAATTAGCCATATTTCACTCCCTGTTCCAGCCCATATGTGACATAATGTACAAGAGCCTGGGCAGAGGGAGCCTACAGGCCAAGGAACTTCTCTAGGACTTCCCCTCCCCCACCTCCTATTACTTATCACAATGTCATCTCAAAAAAGTAGGCTTTGACAAGTAGCCCATTTTTCACACTGCAAATCCTCCTGCTTTCTTAACCTTAACCTTGCTTCTGATTGCCAGTGAGTTCATGCTTAGGACCTACTTGTTGGTTGAAGTCATATCAAAAACCCTGAGATCTTATCTCAAATTCATGCATTATTATCTCTGTGACCTTGAGAAAGTCACTTAACCTACTAGACTCAATTGAAGCATCTATAAAATCAGCATAATACTACCACTTCCTCATGGGGCTCCTGTGCATGGTCAGTGAGCTAATACAGAAACAGTCCCCTAGTAGGGCCATAGGGGCCTAAATAATTGTCAAATTATTCCATCTAAATACCTCCCAGACATGGTGCATTTCTTTTGACCCCTACTCCTTTGCCCAAATTCAAACCAAGCTATGATGTGTTGGGAAAAATTGAAAGATAGACGCTGCCTTATATAGAATTACATTTGGGCCAAGCTGAGCTCAAAGCAAAACTGTTGTCATAGTTTCCAGATATGTGCAATCAACAGACACAACTCGGCCACCAAGACTCTCTTTGTAGAATATAGTGCCTTCACTCAGAGTCAGCACTTGGTTGGGAGTTACTCTATGTTGATAGTCTGTCATCTGATTTTAAGAGGGAAGAGAAATTATCAAAATGCAGTATCACTGGAAAGATACGATACTGATTTTTTTCTCCTCTACATTTTAATAATAATTAAACATCTTGCTTAGAAAAATTGAATGGAATTTTATAAGAACTCAGACAGGGTCCAATTCTGAGGTGAGTCTCTGAAAAAGAAAAGAGCAAAATGCTTTGCAAATTACATTGTTCATCTTCCATTCTCCTTCCTTTCATTCCTTGCAATTTGCTCTGCATTCAGCTTTCCTTGCTATCTGAAACTCGAATTTTCCTATTGAGTATGATTTGGTAGATTATTTTGGGGGCCTGGAAATGCTCAAATTTTTTCCCATATAAATTAATGCTAATAGTATTCCTAGACTCCCCAAATAACCTATCCTATCATATCAGATAGGAACTTTCTACTTTTGGGTTGTAAAAGACACCTGCACAAGTTGATGGGCGATAGTCTGGACAAAGTGCCTGTGGTTGCTATTAGTGAGAGTCTATAGAATGCTTATGAAAATTACCTTGATGCTTTAAAGTCACTATTCAAGTTTTAATAAATGAGCTTAAAGTGAATTAGATGTTCTGGAAAAGTAATGCTTATGAGCATTTTGTTGTTGTTTGCTTGCATTTAAGACATTTTGAACTATAATGCCTTAGGTAATGTGCAAAGTCATTTGTTGATTATCTGAGATGGGAAAAGGAGATGGTTGTTTAAATCTCATCAAGAAAATTTTACGGCTGGAAGGGGACAAAAGAGGTGCTGGCACTCCACAACAGGGTCTGGAGTGAGTTGAGACCAATAGAAAGGACTCATGCAGCTTGCTTATTCTAATTATTTGGTTTTCCATTTGACTTGCACGGCATGAAAAAGGTGAGGCTCAAGAGTCTCTTAAAATTTAAGTTGCACTCAGCAAATTCCAGGTGCCACCCAAGGCAGAAAACATGTGTAATAAAGTCTCTTTATTGCTGCCCATTTACTTTCCAACAAATACAGGATATAGAAATACAAATGCTTGACACTTCTACATAAGGACAACTATGCCAGGATGATGGAGCAGTGACCCCCAAACCAACAATAACAGAACTATGCTATTTATTCTTGAATATGTGGAGCCATTTACAAGAAGTGGATTCAGCAGCAAAAGTTTTACAATCCCTGTGTTCTCTAAATGAGAATATGAAGTCTAGTGACTCAACTAAAGCCTTTTATTATTTTGGCAAGTCTAAATGGACTTAAGTGTCCAGTCAAGGGCTACGTAATTTCTCCTTCCATGAATCCCAGAAATAAAGAAATACTCCTCTCAGATACAAAAGTAGATTGTGTTTTAGAAAAGAATTTACAGACTGACAGTGTTTCTCAAAATTTCATACAGATACTCCTAATAGCAAAGGACATTTAAACCATCCCCTAAGGATCTAGGGAATCCTTTGGAAGAAGCCTATAAGTGTGAAATGGCTTTATAATCCTGTGTATTATCTTTTTTAAAAGTTAATTTTGACTTCTGTTTTATAGCACATTTGCAAGTTCTATTAAGGTTCTAGATGACTGACTATTGTGCAAATTTGATTCCCTCCCCCAAAATGTACTATGCTTATTTGGTGACTTTATGTGTATCCCAGGACATGACCAGGGACTAGGAGAAACTTACATGTTTTAACAAATATCTAATGTGGATCTTGAGGTTAAAAAAACAGATAAAGACTGATAATGTTCCTCTTATCTCCCCAACCAAGGTCTTCTCCATTTATACATCATTTGTATTTGGGAGTCAGAGCAGAAAGGGGAGGACAGAGAGAAAGGAAGATGAATGTGTCTCCAGAGCCTTTGAACCTGAGAGGTGGAGGCAGATTAGATTCACCCAATGAAAGAATGACTGTTCCCCCTAACACCTTCTCTTCCTGGACAGCTGCCATCTTAGGCCAACCTCAGCATTGCTTTGATGAAAACAGGCTGAGAAAAAGACACAATCTATGTTGATATTAAACTCAAAGCAAAATCTCGTGGGATTTATGATGCAGGAGTTGGGCCAACTGTAAATAGACTGAAGAGGGTTCACCAAATGCAACAGAAAATGTAGAACTGAGAGTCTTGGGAGTGGCTTAGCTGAATTTTTAAAATATGTTGTAGACTAGCCTGTTTGTTTACTCTTTGATCCACCTTGTTTCGTTCTCTTAGGGCCCTGGGACTTCAGCATCTAAAACTGACTTTGAGGCTATTAACTGAGGAGCATTTTCTGCTTACCCAAGGTGGAAAGGTCAGAAGCCCACAAGAGTGTTAGTAACACAGAATAAGCCAAGTGGTTTGCATATTAGGGATTAGCAGTGACCTGGAGACTTTGTGCCCTTTTAAAATACATTGAAATTCAAGTTTAAAAACAAAACAAACAATGTGCAGGCCCAAGAAAATAGGTCTTGCAGAAAGCAGGTCAGGCAGAACTTGGCCTATGGGTTCCTTTTCATGCAGTCCTTGTAATGGCTACTTCTGCTGGGTTTCAAAGCAGTAAAGAAACTTCTCAGAGAAAAGGACAGAGACAAAGTTGAATTTTAGCCCAAAGCCCATTGATGCCTAGTTCGTTTGGTGCAACATAAATATGTTTATTGAAGGATAGATCATATTACAGGACCTGTTCTTGGAGGAAAGTGAACTACTGCAAATGTAGCAATTCATCTTGATTTTCTCCCTCTGCCAGTTTGGAAGGAAAGAAAGGGTTACACAAGGCCTTCAATGTCCCTGTGTCATTTTCTACCAGCACAACTTTGGGCTCCTGTGATTGCATTGAGGCTGATCTAGGCACAGTATTGGAGGCCACCCCTGAGGTCCAATGCGTGGCACAGTGAGGGGAGCAGAGAAACTGGGGACTAGCACCCCTTCCCACATATGCCACAACAGCTATGTTTTCAGAAGTCTGCTCCCCAACTCACTGGGTATTCGGGAAGCCAAAT